GAACGTTCAAATGCGCACGCGCTTGGTTGAACGCACGTGCTTGGTTGAACGAGAGTGACCACCAAAAGAGGTGAGATAGTTTATGGACAATGTACAAAGTTCACGCTGCTGACCCCACGGTTTATTTGGCACAATAAACACAAAAGTACGACTGCAATGAAACATAAACATAAATTTGAAATAAAAATATATTTATGAAACAAAATTAATGTTTTTATGTACATATATAAACATGAAATCCTAGTTAAAAATAAAAATACTTATTTATTGTTTAGGTCTATTTAAAAATATTATTTACGGGTCTGTATATTACTTGAAACCATAAGAAGTATATGTGATTATTAAAAAAATTAAAAATAGATAAAATTTGCATTTTATGGAGGATACAATTTTTTTGGGATTTCAAAATAATGTACTAAAACATTAAAAGTAATAAGTTCAAATCTGTAGCGAATATAAATATTGTAATCATTTCTTATAAATACCATTTCCTAATGTAATTTTCCAAGATATTAAAGATCATAATGCAAAAAACTAAAGTTATTAAAAGTAATAGGCTTTATGTTTCTTAAACTACCTACATTTGTCAAAGTACTTTTGAATTTTTGAACATATTTGTCCACTAGTTTTATTGTTGGAATGAAATAGAGCAAGACTTGCATTGCCTACTAAGAAAGTTAGTAGCCGGTAGTCATCAGGTTAAGTGCTTAAGGTTCTTAGGTGTTAATTGGGAGACTTAAAAGGTTGTAAACAACTTGAATAAAACAGGTAAATAACTAAGTTTTGGAAGCTATATTGCTTGTCCTTTTGCAAACGTAGTTCAATAAAATAGTGAATGGTTTGCTTGATGATTTTGCTTTTTGTAAATTTTAATTTGCTTAAACTTGTATTCATATACTAGCCATGACTTGCAAAATATTTTTGGTAGTTTTCATGCCATTTACTTGAATTTTCCTTATTTTTTCATTTTCATACTCTTCATTTAAGCTATGCTTTCTTGCAGCCATTGTGTGTTAGATTGATAAATCCTGGTCTGTTTTAAAAAAAATTTAAGTTGGGTAAACAAACTCGCATAGATATAACTTTATTTAGTAAAACTACAAGTACGTGACTATTTAATAAAACTACACATAAAGTAAACAAGTAAGGGTATTTATAATAGTATAGAGAGTAAGAAACAGTTATGAGTGTTCAGTGTATGACATGGTTTTACGAGTTGAAAGTAAAAAAACTCACTAAAATGAAGAATAAAACCCGTACTAATGAAAAAGTAGCTAAAAGGTGTTTATAGAAGTATATGAAATGAACTGAAGCTACATTATTGTAAAGTAACTATAAAGTTGTAATGAAGGCAAACTTCAGCTGAATATGCAGAAATATCTGAAAGTGTTTTCACAAAATGAAAAGCATATGGTTTTGAATGAGCTAAAGTCGAGAAAGCCCTTAGAAATTTTGTTTAGTGTAATGTTAATTTTTCTTTAGGAAATCACACACAGATTAAGGGTTGTTTGTGTGAAATACTTTGCAAATACAAAAATTAAACTTAAAATCGAAGCCAGTTGTCACGTGATGGCAACAACATTGTGCCATCTTGTACCATACTTGTTGCATTAAAAAATTTGACTAAGCAAAAAAAAAAAGGTAAGGTGGTTCTGAATGGAAAAACTAATATGCAATTTGGACTTCTCAGACAAAGGCCTTTATAACGATATGAGATTTGTAGTGTTTGATCAAGAAATTTGCGAGAAGTTTTAGACAGACAAATGCAATCATATTATTTGTATAGATGGATGTGAGGAGCTATATTTAATTTGGTTTTGATGTTGTGATTCATTGTTTTAGCGACTGGAGTTATGTATTCAATAGACAAAATTATTATATTTGTATGTTGATTAATATGATGATGTACAGTGCATTCCAAGAACAATTTACTAAACATTCACTTCCTTTGAGACGATCTGGAACATTGCAATTAAAGTAAATAAAAAAATTATGTATATCAGTGTGAATGAATACAGTTGATCCAAGTATTAATACCTTTTTGTATCACAAGTTTACTCCAATGGATAAATCTCTTGGAAATTGTATGTATTTTTTAGTAGTTTAATAATTATTACTAGATATCAACACAACAGTTGCACACTAAACATATAGCAAATAATTTTTTTGGAACCCACAGTAATTACTGATCTTTTTTTGCTGTTATTTAATTTCTAAAAATAAGTTTTCTTCCTTTCTTAAGTGTGAAAGAGAACCATTAACAACACCATCTGCAACACAGAATATGGTTCCACATGATGCATGCAGTGTTCCATATGAAGAAGTAGCAGAGCAATTTAAAACTGATTTATGGCATGGCCTGACTTGGAGAGAAGCCCAAAACCGTCTGTTATTATATGGATATAATGAGTTTGAAGTAAAACCAGATGATCCTTTATGGAAGAAATATATTGAACAGGTAAATAAAATAATTTACTGAAACTAAATACTATTTGAATAATGTATGATTGAGATTTCATTATGCTATTTTTATATATAGATAATAGATAGTTTTTGATTATAGGAATTTAGATTTAGACTAACGTGCAACATGATTTAGTGAATTTGTGATATTGCAACACTAGGATTTTCTTTCAATAAAGTTATTCAACAAGCCAGTTGTCTCCACATTCTCATTCACAGTTACTACATGCACATCTTAGTGTGACCGTTTGTACAGTTGCTATTGCATATATAATTAACATAAGCATAAAATTTATTAACAACAAAAAATTTGTTCCTTCATATAGGCTGTCTCATCCACTGAAATAAAGTTTAGAAAAAGAACAAAGAAATTGAAAGCAGCCTTTGTCATTCAACTATTTATCAAGCCTTTCCTTAAATTCCCTTATTTAGTAACAGTGGACATATAATGTTGCATTTACTTGTTTAGTTTCAAATGTATTGAGCATTGATGTAAACACATTTTTTGTTATATAGTAGTTGTATACAAAATGTATACAGTAATTTCTCATTATCTAGAATTTTATTGTTGAAGTACCGATTTTTTTAAGTATCCTGATCATAGTAATTTGTGGGTACAATTGTTTGTTTTATATCAGGTTCGATGATTTGATGTAACATAACTTTATGGACAACAAGGGGCCTGTTGGTCCATTCAAGTTATTCCATCAGCTAAATAAAATCACCTTTTCACACAAAATAGCTTATTTTCCTCTTGAGCTTACGCGAACAACCAAAGATATTTGCATGTAACCAGCCTTGGAAAAACTCCCACCTAATCTCATGTAAAAACCACGTGAATTTTCACCACTGCAAGGTGACATAACTGTAAGATAATAGAATTTTAGAAAAAATTACACGCTAACTGACGAAGTAGCAAACACATGGTAAAATCCTCTGGGACACATTTTCTCCCACCTTTATTTGTAGGCAATCCCAAATTTTAAAACTACAAAGAAAAAATCAAATCTTAATTGTGTATTGCTCAAGCATTTGAAATAACTCACCTTTTCCCCAATAAACCACTTGCCCAACACTAAATGGTAGATACCAAAAAATAACAGTACAAAACCAATAGAGTGGTCTAACACACTGTGCAGTACAAGAAAAGAAACTATTTGAAAGTGAAAATAAAATATAAAATGCATAAAATATAATATTTAAGAAAGAACATCTACCTCCTTTTGGGGAGTTAGCAAACAACAGTATGCAATAATAAAAATGAAAATACTTTCCAAAACATACATACTTCTGCTGCCACTTATAGCTATTACTCGACTGCTAAGGTTTTTTCTTTATCCATCACATTAGTTTGACTTTTTCTCATTTGCTCCAGTCTTTTGTACCCCACTCAATTGATCTTGGAGATAATTGTATTGTGATACTCTCCACTTACATCAATGCGCCCTCTATCCTGGTTCTGTATATAAGCACCTCATTCAGATAATTTTATCACTTTTTCTCAACAAAGCATCACTAAGGGGTTTCCCAGTATTACGAATGTTCAGAGAAACTTTGAACGTTATTGTGTCATCTAGTTGATTTCATAATAATAATAATAATTAAAAAAATTTCTTTCTTATTCTGATTGGCAAGTATGAGTTCCCAGATGATTATTTCCCACACAGAAGAAAATTTGGTCTCTCCTCTCCCACCTCTGATATCTAGCATTGCACAACAATCAGGGGTGGGAGTCACTCTTGGTTGAGTCTGTCAGTGACCTTATTCATAGTGAGATGGAGACATATATTTGGATCTGTGGTGGTCAATTGAGGGCAATCCTCGACATTTTTGAGAGGCTTTAGATTTGCTTTTTCCTGTGCCTTCTTTTAGTCTGTTGGATTTCCATCCCCCCTGTAGGTCAGTGGTAAGATTATGGACTTGTAGTGCTGGGTTCTGGGGTTCGATTCCTTGGGGTAGATGCAGCAGATGGCCCAAAGTTGCTTTGCTCTAACAAGACAACTTACTTTTCCTGACAATGTGGTGTTCCAATCAATGATAATAACTACAATCTTGAAATGACATGTTACCCAGGGTATGATATATGAATTGTCCCAACACATTTTCAGATTCTGTTCATTGCACCTAATTGGCAGCTACACCTGGGTTTCTGCTTCTGCAGTTACTTCTGGTGTATCCAACTCTTCCACTTCTTTTTAGGCTCTCTCTGTGAAGGCAACCATGATTGGATATGGTACACCTTGCTTTCCAGAAGCTCAAGCTTATAGTATAGAGGTTATGCTGTCTTTCACAAGGCATTGGGGTTTAGTTTTTAAGGTTGACATGTATCTGTCTCAGTTTCTGTTTAGTCCAAAAGGCATTCTTCTCAATGGTAATGACATGCATATCAACAATGTTGTATTGAGAGCAGGTTGAACCCTTTTCAATCAGTGATATCATCCATAACTCATTTTTTGAGTTGGCTCTTTGACAGAGGTTTTTTGCATCCTCCACAATTACCATTATTTATGGCGGCCTTATCGACTACTGTTCAATTATCACAACTGCATATTTTTTGAGTCCCCAGTACTCTCCAGATTCCTCGTATCGTTTTGGATAATTGGTCCCAAATGACCATTCCAGTTACTTAACAGGTATATTAAGGTTGTGTGTTCTTTCTCTACAACTGTTTATGACCTGACTCTTGTATGCTATGTATCCTCTTTACCTGCAGGTTTATTTTTCATTGCTGCGCACCTATGGATTTGCTTTGTTTGTTCACACACCACTTCCTCCTTCTCTCCACATCCTCAGACCAGTTCTTCTTACCCCAAATTCGGTCAGATGGGAAAGGGGTTTAGTCCTTTTTTGCGATTCATCTGCTGACTCTTTCTCTCTACGTCCAATCAGACTTTGACTTTGGTCATGTTCAGTGAGGATCTTGAAGGTTTTGTTGCCTACACTTATACCTTTATTCTGGGCTCTCTTTGAAGGTGAGGTATCTTCTGTGAGTTACATCTAATCAGATTTTTCGTTTCTATGTTCCTGGTAGCCCATTCAAATTGCCCACTGGAAGTCATTGTGTGGACCTCCCACAATACCTTTATCTCGCATTATTTGCTTGATCTGGCAGTTCTTTCATCTGAGGGTTTTTACCTACCCCCTGTAGCTACCTGAGGGGTGAGTATTTTTATTTCTACCTTTGAGGTTTCCTTACCTTATTTTCACAGAATCTCACTCTGTGGCGAGTGTTGCCCAGACAGGTGTGCTTTTATCAAATCAATTCCACACTAACAACCACTATGTCACTATAATTACTACTGGTTTCAACAGGATCTTTAGAAATGAGATATTTTATGAGACCACCTAGGAGCTCATTTGGTGATATTACCTTTGGAAGCATTTACTACCAGCAGACCTTGTGTGTATTTATATTTAGTACCTAGTTTCTTTGTTCAGAGATTTCAGGTACAGTGAAAAGCTCTAATATTTATTACTTCACACAAATATTTGTATCTGTTACATGATCTGAGTTGTTTTACCTAAAAAGTGTTTCATCTGATTACAATCTTTAAGAGTTCATTATGCTTTACACACTCACTATATTGGAGAGTGCAGTGAAGTCAGAGGAAATTTCATTCACTATGCAAATCATAATGACAATGACATTCTGAGATATAAGCATTACGTACTGTAGTGAATAACCAACTTTAGTTGGCTTTGTTGATTAGGACACTGTTTAATGTTATGAAGGTACATATTAATAATTTACATTGAGAGGCTTTAATTGTTGAAATTTGCTTGTGATTCCTGATAGCTCAGTTTGTTGAGAATTAGCCTCAAAGTACTAGTATATGCCAGTTGTTCCAAGTTCAAGCTCTGGTCAGGTCTTGTAACATTCTTGTTTGTTTCAGTATATTGCAAGGCACACCAGTGTGATTAAAATGTAAAGGTCAAATTGAGTATTATTTTACCTGTAATGGAATGTGGGTCTGTAATCCAAAAGTTTATTCTCCAGAAAATATCTATAGTTGATTTAGTTAGCTGTGAGTACTAACCAATAAAGTTGTGTTTCTGCTAGAGAGACATTAGTCATGTTAATACTTATGCCCCACCATATAGTCACTCAGTAAATAATAGTACCACAAAGTATAATTGATGTAAAGACAAAAGTTCCTAAGTAAGTCATTGTATGGTCAACCATAGTACTGTAACATATGATGTAACATGAAAAAAAAAAGGTTTGGGTAGAAATGTTACAAAGCATGAAATTGATACACCATAAAAAATTGAAATTTTTCCCAGTAGAAAATAAGATCAATTAATTGTTTAATGTGTGTATTCAAACTAGTGAAAACAGAATTGTGAATAATAAACTTAGTGTACTACCCCTTTAATGTTCATTAGCATTTTACTAACATCAGCCTTCTTGTATTTGGTTCATATTGTGCAAGTCTGATTTCTTTCATATTGTAATGAATAGATAAATTTTTTTTTGTATTTTTAACATAGATAAACTTACTGGCTTTTACTTGTGTTTATGCCTGTTTATTTATCATTAATTGTGTTTTCCAGTTCAAGAATCCCCTTATAATGCTGCTACTGGCCTCAGCTGTTGTCAGTATTTGTATGCAGCAGTTTGATGATGCTTTTAGCATCACAGCTGTAAGTATTCTCAAAACTGATCTTTGGTTGTTTTTTTTTTTTGTGGATTAAATGTACATTTTAGTTAAAAATTCTTCAGATAAACTGTTTCTAAGAAAGTTGTTCAATTCTATGGAAACGCTAGAAATTATCATTCAAAGCTTTAGGTTTGGGGTGAGAAATTGAAAATGTCTGAAGAATTTCACATTGTAGCAGTATTTTTCTTTAAAATTAAAATATCAAGACGAAGACAATTTTTTTTTTGTATATCTTATTGAAAAATGGTAAAAGTGATAGTTGCACTGGGATATGAGATAAATCTTAATGAGATAATCTATTTATGTTTGTAGGCTTTAATGCACTTGTTATATTAAAAAATTAGATCATGCAAGCCAAATTAAGTTTATCACCCAACATTGTTTATTTCAAACCAGGACTTTATAATAGTTTTTTGTATACATATGTTGCTTTAAAAACAATCATAAAGTGTAACAACTTTGTTTGAAACTAGGTTTTTTATGTATGGAAATATCACTAATGTTTAAAGTGGAAATATCTAATCATCTGGGACCATAAAACTAGTTATTCATTGAAAATATATATATATATATATATTGGCTAAAACAAATGTATTTACATACACAAAGATAAAGATATCTTGTTGGCAAAGTCCAACATGGATTTATTATATATTGCTTGTTTTGTAATATTAATACATGTTCATGCCGCGGAGAAAAACAAGCATTTTTTGTAAGTGTAATTTAAATGAAAGCACCTATTGCATCTAAAAGCACTTAGAACCTTGTTTTCAAATTAATTTACTTTTTATTCATTTTGAATCTCATACCAGGAATAAAACTAAGTGAGGAAAACCATTAGTGCTGTAAAAGTTTTATTTGAAGAAAAAAGTGTATGTCTTTAACTCCAACTCTGTGGAGATCACATACAGATTGGAACAGAGAGATAAAATCACAGCTTGATGATATCCTGCTAGAAGAAATATTTGTGAATGACTTATATCATAGTTACAATCTTAGTATATATGTTTTTTAAAGCTTGATTTATCATTTTATACTTCATTTGACTTGTGGTATTGTAGGTGATAGGCAAAGAAATGTTTTGTTGAAAAAGATCATAATGGGAAATGTAAGGCATAATTTTGCACTCAACCATATAAAGTTTCATTCCAGTAAAAAAGCTGCTGTTTGTTAAGCTATGTATACTTAAGGCATTATTTACCTAAATAACAGCTTGAATGGGCAAATAAAAATCATTGAAAATTAATGTGAAAAGATGCATGTGTAATTGAATATAAAACTGTTAGAATTTCTTATATATATTAAATGAAATCTTCTGATTACCATTTGAAAAACATTGGCTTGTTTATACTTTTGGCATGGCCAAAAAGTTTTTATCATATGTTAGTGATCATAAAAACAGTGAATCAAGTTATGGTGTTTTTGAATCAAAATAAAACGTAGTTTTATAAAATAAAAATTTTATTGGAAAGTTTTACAAGAATGTAGGAAGACATAAAAGTCAGTAAATAAAATGTGCAACAAATCTAAGAATATTTAATTGTTTCTTAAAAGTAAAAAATCTCAAAGAAACCTATTTGATTTTCAAAGCTGACAATTCATGCAAGTATCACATATGAAAATGTATTTAAGAGAAGTTACTTAATATAAAGAAAATATGTCAAGTTCAAATGGATTTGTTTTTGATACATAATAAAGCAAATATCACAGATGCATCTAGATGTTTCAGTTTTAGCACAGTTAATTTGAAAAGAACTGAACAAAAAAATAAACATCTTTCAGATATTATATAAGAGCTGTATTGAAATAATTCAATTTTTATGATAAATGCAGAATGTAAAACATGCATATTTAAAAAATTTGGATTTAAAAAAAAGGAAAAGTTGTAGATTTACCAGCTTGTTAATTAAAGTCTATGTTTAGTTGTGGAAAACATTTTAAGTATATATATGAGTCAAAGAGGCACAAGTTGAAGTTTAAGTTATTGCAATAGGAGCTCTTTTGCATTAACCGTTAACAGTCCTATTAAAGAAATAAAAATATTCATTTAGAAAGAAATACATTTTTCAATATCTTTACGATATTACACATTAGTACATAGAGAAGCAAAAAAGAATATATCAATAAGTTAAGAACAATGAAAGATTTCTTAAAACTCACCTTTTAATTTCACTTGTAGAATGGGAAGCATATTTATGGCAATCATATTTTTCTGTATACATGTGTGAAATGCTTGGAATGCTCAATGGGAACTGTTAGTTTAATTTTTCATGTGATATTTGAAGATTTAATCTTAATATGAGATTTTAAGTTTGTCTAATATAAAATTATTTACAAACTAGACATATTAACATATATAGTTTGTAAAATTGCAGTTGAATAGCTGTTTAGCAGTAAAAATAACTTTTCCTTTTCTATTTGCGACTTCATGTCTTCTGGTGGGACACTGGTAAGCCTATGGATTTACAATGCTAAAATCAGGGGTTTGATTTCCCTGCGGTGATCACTGCATTCATTTCAAAATGACCTAAAGTAGTAACTGAAATTATTTGTCAAAAGTTTTATTATTATCTAAAAGAAAAAAGTAACATGATATTATTTTCTCATTGCATGTTAGTGTGATGTTATTGTTTTAACACCAAGTTTGTTGGTCGGTGAGACTGAATTTGGGGTTTTGGGTTAGCAAAAGAAGAGGGGTCACAGTTTCAGATATTTAAGTGAAGACCAAAAATAATTTATGCCAATAAAGGACTTGACCTGATAACTTTATAAAACCACATTTTATAACCAAAATAACTCGCCTTTCAATGGTGGTTGACCAGAGAGATGCAGTATTTAGAGGGTTGGATAGACTGTTCTTCTTGCATAAAATAATAACCACCTTACAGTGGAAGGCAAGTAAGCTTTGTTAAGTCTTTCTTGGTCATGTCTATCAGTAGAACTTATGAAAATTGGGAGGAAATGGCTTTATACAGCTGGGGAACCAGATAATATATTGCACAACATGTGCAGTCATTAATACGTGTTGTATGGAATTTTGGATTGGGGTATGGGTTTTACTCTTTTAATGTCTGGCGCTACTATGAACTCAGCCAAGGTAGTAGGCAATTCAGGATTCAGATATTTCAAGGAGTTCAAATTTATATTTAGAATTTTAAAAGAGACTAGTAGAAAGTTTTGTTAGAAATCAACTCGTCAAACAAGTCTCTCGAACTCATAGATCGGGTGTTAAAAGACAATCTTGATACATTGTCTAGCATTAGAGTATTTTTAGTGATGAAGATTATTTAAAAACTCATTGTAACCTAAGCCTGTCTTTGACAGAAATTCAGTTTCAAACATTTGGAGATTTAAAATATAAACTGTTCAGATTCTGCATTAAAATGTGGATTTGTGAATATAGCTTTGTGTAAAGGAATAGTATTTCTCACTGTGATAAAAAGAATTGTTTACTATGCAGATCTCTGAAACAAATATGTTTTGTATGTTGTTTTTTCATGAAGATTTAATTAAAAGATTTTTGCAACACAGTACTAAACAGTTCTCTGTACTGAAAGTTCATTTAATGATTACATTATATATTAAGTTATGAAATTGTATTTCCTCTGTGTATATAATAAAATACTATTACTAGAGGTGGTCCTATTTTAATGGAGGGCATTGGTGTGTATGTACTGGGAACTTAGTTTTTTTTTTAAGAGGATTGTTTCTCACTAGACAATTATAATGATTTAATATATACTCTGCTCTGATTTTATTTCAGGCAATTCTCATTGTTGTCACCGTAGCATTTGTTCAGGTATGTGGGTTGACTTATAAGCATGTGACTATCAGTATTTTCTTCAAGGAATAATTTGATTCTGAACTTAATAATTACTTTGTTTGGTATTAAACATTGATTAACAAATACATTAAATAAATCTATTTTATCTTCATGAACATGTTTCTAATCTCTGCAGCATTCAGTCTTAAGCTTGTAGTTATATCTCAATTAATTTATCGTTAAAATTAAAAAAATATTAGAGATAATGTTGACAAAGAGATATTTATTGCACATGTTGTTTAAGGCTACTGATTATCAGTCATTGTTCTTGGAAAGATCACTAATTAAGTAAATATATTGTTCAGATCTTTATTATAAACACTGATGCAAAGCTGAATAAATAGTATGAATGATGATATTAATGTAAATTCATTTAATCAATTTTATATTTAATAAAGATTTAATATAAAATATTTGAATCATATGTATTTACAAGCAAAAGTACCCATCCCCAGTGATGGGGAAAAGCTTAATTTAATCTGTCAATTTAAATTATTTTATGGACTTTAAAAAGGTCAATTGTGTTGCACTCTTGGTTTCACTCAGAGCCAAAGCTCTGAGCTACTTATACTGTCCACCACAAAAAGTAATTGTTGAGTATTTCAGTCATGCTAAGAGCCACTCAACAATAACGTGCGGTAAATTTACATTTTTTATTCTTTAAGTTACATCACATTTTGAAATGTGAATGATATTGTTATTAATTCCTAACAATTTAGTGTAGAATATCCTGCTTGCAAAATAAAATTTGGCATCAACATCATTCATACCTGTTCTCCCATCATTTCAAAAGTGAATGTTGAGCTTTTCCTGCTTACTCATCTTTTCAAATGGGAGACAGACAAAAGCTTGGACAGACACTGCGGTTTGCAATATATGTAAGATTGGTATATATGCTATTATATGTAAAGTAGTTATGCTTAAAAGTTAAGTTTTTGGTAATTTTTAGATCGATTTTTATGATTATGGTTCTTGTTTGGTAATTACTTTGAGTTACGTATTTTAAATGCTTCCTGGTTTCTAAATGTACTTTTCCTAAATCTTGCCATTTTTTCTAGCAAATACAGAGGAGTTTTCTTATTTTGAAGGCAAATTTTAAGTAAGCTAAAGTTAAATAACCACCATTAAACATAATATAACTATTTTCAGAGACTTCAAGTTTGTATAAAAATTTGTGATATGATTACCTCTTTACAGGAGTATAGATCTGAGAAATCTTTAGAAGAGCTTAATAAACTGGTCCCTCCCACTTGTAACTGGTATGTAAAAGAAAGTTATTTTTCAGTGACTGAAACTAATCTTTTATTTATTATTTTTATATAATATTTTTAACGTAAATATAAATACTATCAAAGAAAAACTTACAGAATGATAAATAAGCAATTTTACAAGTTTGTTGCATTCTTGCTGTATTAAAGAGCTTTTGTTGGTAATGTTATTGTTGAAAAATGTTTGTCCTAAGAGGTGATTCCATGGCTTTTTCTTAGTACTTATAAACTTTAATTTCAAGTGCCTGTGGTATTACAGACCATTGTAGTTAAAGAAATTACTAATTTTTTTTACAATTTATTTTGGATAAGCAGTTAAAAAATTTTGAACAATACATTTTAATAATTGCATGTTTTTTACAACACATAATTTTACTACTTTCTTAGTAAAGTTGTAGTCTGGTTGTCAGATTTCTCACACTTTATTTATCATTGTCCATGTGTATAATTTTTAATTATCAGTTATACTGAATTCACAGGGCCTGAAACTAAATTTTTTGTTACTGGAAAGTGTTTGCCAGTTACTTTAGAAAATATTGCCAAAAGAACCAGATAAGCTTTTAAAAAAAAAGAGGAAAAGATAACTCTTTTAAGACCAATAAAATCATTTATTTACAATAAAATCTGAAGTGTGCTGACCTAGTTTACAGATTTATTAACACACTGTGTCACTCCCTTACCTTTTTTTAGGGAAGTTAAAAATCTGGTCTGTGGTGATCAGACAACTTTCATATGTTGATTATTTTTAAGTTGTCACTTTCTTTCTTCAGAGCTGTTGATATCATAAGCTGGACTGTGGTGTTTGTATCCTGGCTGCAGTGCCAGTAACTTTTTTTCCAGAAAGATAGAGGGTAAATGTTAGAGATACAGTATTTTTTAGAATGTGCTCAAGTCTTTCCTGACCAGAGGAGAGTCACTGACATCCCTTGATTTTTTTTCCTTTTTCCTGTGGTAATAATAATCACATTGCATGAAACTTAGTACAAACTTACTAAATAGCATCTAGTTTTGGCTCTAAAAGAAGTGTGTAATTTGATTATTTTGCTATAATTTCTTAGGTCTTGAAATTTTCAAAACGTTTTGAGAGATATTGTTTTGAAAAGCATTGGAAATATTGTTTTTTGTCAGAGTATTTCAATTTATTTTATTTTTGATCAGAATTTTCCATTTGATATATGCAGTTACTTTCAAAGTTATTAATATTAACATATTTCCTTTGATACTTTATTTTGCCAATTGCAGCAATCACCACTTACGGCTATAAATCATAAACTAAAAGCAACAACTCACAAATATCTGTGACCTTGGACCTGACCTTTAAAAATGACATAATCATTACCTTTGTCAGGCTAGTTAATAATTTTGCTAAGTGTTTCTAGTCAAGATCAACTTATACCTAATAAATATATTTTATTCAGTAAATAGTAAGTTATTTGGTTTATGTGCTTTGTTTAAATATGATAAACGTAACAGTTATAATCAATAAATAAAGATTTGAGTAATGGCTATATTTTGTCATTTCCTACCTTGCTAAACCTAATTAAGCTTAGATGATGTCTTTTCATAGAAGATAAATTAAATAGCTTTCAAATAAATGTGATTTAACTCTTGGTTGAGTGTTTCCCATAACCACCAAAACAGTTCTGTTGCCTCTAGCTATTTTCAATGCTGTGTTTCATTATTTGTTGTTCAAACCACATGCTGTTATATGAAAGGTTGTAGTAATGAAACCACTAACAAAACATTAGAAAACACTGATATAAATAAGATGTGGATAATTATATTTTTGAGGGGTTAATGGATGGGCATAAAAACTATAAAAAATTCATGTGTGTATTGTAGCTGTACAGAAATGAAATTTGGAATATTTAAAAAAATGTTTCATTGCAAATTACACTAAATAAATGTTATAGATTTACAAAATGTCAATTCTAAAATATCTTTAATTAAAAATTGTTGAAACCAAATTAGAGCTTAAGTTTGTACTTAAACTTGAAACTTAAATATAGGTGTTCACTTGACACCTTAAAGGTATGCTTCCATCTGGATAAAGTCTCATCCTGTCTTATACATTGCTACACAGACAGTGGATGAATATCAGCAAACAGAAGGCCAGTCTGCATTTATGTCGTTACCTCTGCCCACTCATTTAGGAGAGTCTGGGTGTCATTATCACAATTCTATTAAATTGTGTTAAATGAGCAGTGGGATGTTGAACTTGTTCTTATACTACAAAGATGAATATTCTGGTCAGGCAGGTACTTTTGGTGAAACATAGTTGTTACTGTATGATTTATCTCAGTTTTGTCAGCTTTAAAGTATTTGTCAAAGACATCACTGATGAATGGATGAGTGAAAGAAAAACTTTTTTCTAACAAAGGATAGGAAATTGGGCTTCAATTTTTTTTTCTTAACATAATAAACATTATAAGTGTAATAAAAAATATGTAAAGGTACCAATACTGAAAAGAAAGACGTACTGTTTCCAAGAATTTGAACAATAGTGGTTACATATTTCATGCTAATGCTGAGAGATATACAACATTGGAAGTTTTTCTAAAATTAGGTTGGAAGGATACCCCCATGACCTTCCTCATGTCATCCGATATCACCGAGTCAAGTTTGGTGCTGATTGATCAAGAAATGTGGAATATTTTGCAGAATGAATGAGACGAAGAGTTTGTATTACTAATGGTATAATTATTCGGACTATTATTCAAGAATAATAGTCCAAATAATTATACCATTAGTAAGAAATATGGAAACATAAAAGGAACAGATATATATACACATACACACATTGACATTTATTTATATAGATACATTGTTTAGTGAGAGTCCCCTCAATTGTAGTTCTGAAATGTATGCCAGAATTCACTTTCTATGTGTATTTTCTATTTATCTAAGTATGTCATTTTATCCTTAAAACAAGGAGATTTTGATGATTTTTTTCAAAATATCCTAAACAACAAACATAAAAAACATTTAAATTTTTATTTTTCAAAGAAGTATGTACAATGTTGCTGTGTTTTTGCCATACTTCTTGTTGTCTTCAGAAACATTTTACCATTTGCACTATTATACTTAGCCAATTATTCAGTTATTCAGAACTTTGGAAAGAGCTGCACTGTATCCAGCTTTTTTCCATTGGCTCTGCTTGCCTAAGAGAAATGATCTTTCATTATTTCTGCAGCTACATTTACTTTTTTTAAGCCTTGTTGAAGAATGTTTGTAAAATGTTGGATGCCAGGATGTGAACTACTGTACTTGTATATGAAACTTTAAAAAAAATGTCCTTCATGGTAATTTTCGACCTGTGGATCCTGCAGAATATTAGAACAAGCCAAGGTGCATCTGGTGTGCTGTTTTACTGATCATATTACAAACAGAAATCACCAATTGCTGATTATTATAGTGCACTATTGGCCCGATTCCGATTATGTAGAATAAAGTTGATGATGTCATTGTGTAGTGTTGTTGACAGCTTAACCTTAAAAATTGTAACGATTACAGGGAATGTACTTTGAAGTTTCATTAAATTCGAAATGGTTGAAGTTATCAATAAATGTGCCAAACAAAAAAAATCACAATCTCTTTTCCAATTTTTTATTTGAATGTGTGAAAAACAATGGAACTGACCTTGTGGCTAGTACATGATTGATACATTATATTATGTGATCATTGTGAGAGACAAACAAATCATTGAGGTTCATTGCCTAAATTCATCATTCACTTCAGCCATAACTTCGAAGACTTTTGTTACCACTCCACAAATTTTGAACTAAACCACCTTCTAAACCAAACAAAGTTTTCCAACTAAAGGTTAAATAAAGTGGTAGCGTTTGAAAGTTTCAGTCATAAAGAGAGGAATCTTTAAATCAGTTGCCAATAGATTTTTCTTAAATTAAATTTTATTAAAAGATGCTCCTAATTGTATCTTTATTGCTTACATAATGATCAACTTTCCAACCTTAAAAAAAAGAAAAAGAAATGACAACTGTAAATGCATTATGATAAAGAAAACCCACATTGTGCTGGTTGAATTATTTAAAATTTATCACCTCCCAGCTCGATACATGCTTTCATTGAACGTGTTTCAGATCTCGGCACTTACCCAGTGTCACTTTTGACATTTGTCTAAAATCATGAAATATTAGTTTTTACTTTCAATAAAGACGTATACACTCCCCTGTTAGTTACAGGTGCAATGTAGAGTTGGTTATGACAATTGTTCACCTTTGTAATTTTGTTTTTCACCATTTGCATCATACTCAAGAAACCAAAAATATCTAGTTTTTGGTAACTTCTTGAAACTATGCATATTCGTAAGTAACGGGACTGTCATATGATGAAATGGAATGAGCTAATACACACTGCAATACTAACGGAGAGCCACATGGCATATCATCCTGAGAACTTAGTGGGAAAAGTCTATGTAGATCTCCAGCTAGTACACGGTGTGTATTAGCTCTGTTTATAAGGTGTTTGTTATGGTTTGCTAATCTACAGTTTGTAAAGAAATGGGTGTGCTTCGCAATATGTGGAGCATTGTTTTTTAACCTTTCTTTCATTTAGTGTTGGTTCAACTTATGTAAATAAATGAGAAATAGACAGAGTATTTAACTGATGATCTTTTATTGTATGGGGAATAATGTTTTGTGTCAAAAGAATAAAGAAAAAGTACAGAGTTGTGATTCTAAGTACACTTATAAAACAGAAGATTTTTGTTGTGAATAAAGTGGTCTGGGTGGTGGTCTTTACTTTCTCTGTAATCAGTTTTCCATGATCAGGAAATTCACAAATTTTATGAATTCCGATTGTTACCTAATTTTGATTGCCAAACTTGTTATCGGTAAAACATTGATCTGGTGCCAACAGTGCAACTCCACTATATCTAATGCCAAAATTTACACTTGCACCATCTGTTCCAGAGCCTACCATCTTGGACTTAAATCCACTAGACATAAAAGTTAAAATCTTGGAAGGTTGCCTCCAATGCATCTAGAATATCTTCAGACTTAGCACTTCATGCATTTAAGAGCTTGAGGTATGCAGTATGTGGATAAAAATTTTTTATTATCCAGGCATACAAGTTTTTTTTCTTTGTCAGTCTTACTATGCTGTTATCAGTCACCAAGGAAAATAAGTTAATAGCGGGTAGTTGTTGTCATAATTCATCATACCCAGTACCAGTAATTTCAGTGATGAACGGCCTACATGCGTTATCACTGTTTATCTAAAGTTCTAATAGGTTTTGGAAGTCAGTTGATGGCTGTGTAGTAGGCTGTCCTGAACAACTTTCCCATTTTTTAAAAAAGTGTCAGAGCTCATTATTTGCAGGACTTTTTCTGTATCTCGGGTAACTTGATACAGACCTTTTAAATAATATGTAGTTTCTCTGACACTGTTTGTTGATGTCAGGTGATAAATTCTGAGGTTGTCACTGTTATATGTTACAGTTTTCTGGCACTGGTTGTTGGTATTTATTGTGACATTCTTGAGTTACTGTGTTACAATTTGCTAACATTAGTTGCTGATGTTTGTTAAGTTGTTGAGTTCATGACTGTTACTTTATTGCAGTTTCTTTAACACTGGCTGCAAAATTCCAAATTTAAGTTCTTGAATATATTTTAGTTGTTGGTGTTTTCTTGTTTGTTTTCACTGTGAAGTAATCCTGATCACACACAACAATCCTCTTGACACTACTGCTCTTTGGTTTTGAAGCTCTGTAGATTGCAGCCTATGCAGCTATGAATCTTAAGCACTGTTTCTATTGGCACATCAATGATCTGTATAATCTTGGTTAAAGATCTATTTACCAGGTAGGCCTCCTGCTGTCATACACATTTAAAAGCCTGTTGAAATCATTCATGAAAGTCGTAATCTCTGGAACTGAAGATTAGCTCTTTATACACACATGCACCTGATGTTTAGAAACCAGGAATATACCTAAATCATATTTAATGTGTCAGCTTGTCTGTTTATAAGAAGGAATTCAGGTGCATGTTGTTTCCTTTTTTAATTTAACCAGTGTATAGATGTGTTTTCATACAGTTTAAAATTGTATCCAATAATGAAAGTGCTTAAATTAATATGAACTAATACTGAGAAAAAAGTAATTTTTGATAAATTACTGATAATTAATATCTAAAAAGATGGCTAATAAAAAAAAAATAAAAGATAAGTATCATGTAAGTGAGATTGAATGTACGAATTGCTAAATTAAAGTCTGTTGATAATATTGTGTCTGATGTGCATTTTGTTCTAACACTAAATGCACTGACTACCAAGATCCTAACTGGTAAATGCTACAGTAACATCTGTGAAAATAATATAAATATAAAAATAGATAGTTGTATTCTTCTGAACTAGAATAATTCCAAAATGTACAAGACAATGAGCAAATAATATAAAGAAATTACCAAAAGATGATTAGATTTGGAAATCTCGGTAATATTGCAATTTATTTTCATATGCAAACTGAGTTTTAAAAAAATCAGTAGTAATTATTTAACTTTTGTCAGGCATTTATTTTTTTTCCTCTTGCCATGAAAATTAACTTTGATCTGAAATAATCAACAATGATATGAGAGAGTGACACAACTTTGAAGTAAAATAATCACACTGCTTGTGCTTATCAAGCAACAGTGAGGAGTGAACAATACAACATTTTATTTTTGTGAAAGAGGATTTCACAGATACTTCTGTGATACATAGTTGAACCAATATTTGTATAACTCACATAAACATATATGTATTTTTGTTTATTTGAAGTATTTGAACTGACAAGAGCATAACATGAAAAAAAAATATTATTTGTGTAGAGGGGGGGGGGCATTTTTCATATAATATAGTAATAATGGTTGGAGACGGCTTGAATGGGTAATGAAGAAAAACTTTAATATAAGTTTAACATAACAGCAAATGTACAATGTACCTGATGATGACAAAACCTTGTCGAAACGTTGTACATTTGCTGTTATGTTAAACTTATATTAAAGTTTTTCTTCATTACCCATTCAAGCCGTCTCCAGCCATTATTATATATCTCTTCTAAGTCTTGCAACAGTATCCGGTCATGTGACCTCTTTGTTCCATACTGTGTATATATATATCTGTGTCAGTGTAAACTACTTGTACCTGATGATGACAAAACGTTGTACATTTGCTGTTATGTTAAATTTATATTAAAGTTTTTCTTCATTACCCATTCAAGCCGTCTCCAACCGTTATTAGTCTCAAAGTGGGTTCCTCGTCATCGAATATAATATAGTAGTTTTAATAGCAGCCCCAAAACAAAATATAGCAAACTGTGGTTTGGACATTTTACTATGGTATAAAACTATGGTAAATAACCTACATATACATGTCTTGTTATTTAGTAATGTAACAGGAAGCTTCAGTTTAATAATAACTTGCTGTGAAGTATAAGGATAATGAGATACAGATTAACATGTTATTTAGTAATGTAGTAGGAAGCTTCAGTTTAATAATAACTTGCTGTGAAGTATAAGGATAATGGGGTGTAGATTAACATGTTATTTAGTAATGTAGTAGGAAGCTTCAGTTTAATAATAACTAGCTGTGAAGTATAAGGATAATGGGGTGTAGATTAACATGTTATTTAGTGATATGGTAGGAAGCTTCAGTTTAATAATAACTAGCTGTGAAGTATAAGGATAATGGGGTGTAGATTAACATGTTATTTAGGTATATGGTAGGAAGCTTCACTTTACTAATAACCACCCATGAAGTATGGGTTAATGAGATAGATGTTAACAGGTTTTTACTTTAGTTAGACTAAATGGCTTTGGCTCAAAAGAGAATCTATAAACTTAATTGGAATCCTGCTTTATGCATTATCTCAGTATGAAACTAATAAGTAAAACAAATATAATAAAGTAACTTTACATTCAACATTCTGTTGTTCAGAGCAATATGTCATGAATTTGAAAGCAGATTTTGTATGAGTACTTAGTATAATGGTAAACAACGAAGTCATTAATATTTGTGTAAGGTGTCTTCAGACATTCAGCTTTCACAGCTGTCAGCATCTTCCAACAATTTGTTACCAATATGATCATGGATTTCTAGCTTTCAGCTATCTAGAGGAGACACTGGGACATTTGTGTCCGCTAACATTTCTTCCTTGCTGAAATATGTTAATGTATGCTAATCTGTTTATGTTATAATATAGGCTTATGACTAACTTGAAAGCCATTTTTTTTGTAAGGTTAATAATGTCTAACATTTCAGTTTATAATTGATGTCTTTTTGTGATGTAATCTTGCTACTTTTCCTTCTACTTCTTTGTAGGCCCATTTTACCCGAAACCTTGCACTTTTATGAAATATGTTTACTTGAAGTTGATGTGGTAAGGTTAAAATCATAACTTCAACAGATTATGAAATTTTGAGTGTTAGAATATAACATAACTTTTAATCATTGGCAATAATGCATAAGTTTCATTCAGTCTTGAACACACATTTTTAACATTAAAACAATGAAAAAATTAGAAAGAATCAGTGCTTTCTATACAGTCAGTTTTCTGTGGAATATGAAATAAATTTAGTATACACCAGAATTTGTTTTTATTTGAAGTTTGAGAGAGGGTCGAGTGGAGACATTTCTAGCAAGAAACCTGGTACCTGGTGACATTGTGTTGCTTAATGTTGGAGACAGGGTTCCTGCTGACCTAAGACTCTTTGAAGTAAGTGTCCATAGTATTTTAGTTCAACGTGTCTCTTGTATTTATTACAGCATAATTAATGTTTCAGTTGTCAGCAAATAGAAGGCAATGCATCTGTCTTCAGTGGATATTTATAACGCTTACGTAACTGTGGGTTTGCCTAATATGTCTAAAACAAAGTAATTGAGAAAAGCTATCAAACATATTAATTTATGAAAGCAAAATAAGATCTTAATGGTAATTAGCAACTTGGAGTATGTGCAGTACTCACTTATGTTATGAACAGCTAGGTTGTTTTGAACATGTTCATTTGACTTGATCAGTAAAACCAATTTAGGTCCAAGGTAAGTTATTGGGTTTGGATTTTTTTTTTTATTAATTCCCCAATGATAATTCCCAGTGGGTCCAATTGATCGTTTCTGCTAATTATTGGTAAGATTGTATTTGTTCTTGAGTGTGTGTTGGTGTTTAAATGGACTCAACAGTACAAAAACACATACAAAGAATGAATGAGTTAGATGGTATATGTGTGTATACATTGTTATTCTGGAATACTTAATGACACAGATTTTCTTTTGATAATGTGTTTAAAGTGTTTGCTGAATTTTTTATGTTAAATCATAATTTTAAATTTTTTTCTAAATATGTGCCTTTCAATGATATGTTTGTTAATTCTCAACTGGTTGCTACTTGTCTAAATGATTTTGTAGAGGCATGCTACAGGAATAGAGAAATACTAATTATTCTACTTGTTATTAAAACATTTAAAGTGTTACTTAGGTCTTTATTTCACTGTACTGTGGCAGGACATAATTAGTTATTCTTTTGTAGTTTCTAGAGCTATTATATTATTTTTAACTAATATGTATATATATATATATATATATATATTTGATACAGAGATATTTGTTGTAAAAACATAGCTGTAATTGTGTTGCAAAAATACATTTACAATTTTTTAAAATGTATATTGTAAAATTAGCATTTTTTGTGGCATACTTAAATTTCTTAATGGTAGGCATAATGTGTGAAAAATTAGATGTAAACTTTTCCCATGAAAGAAGCCTTTAATGAGAAATGCTGGTATTTTTAAACTGGGAAAATGTGTAGCACAGCATTAAGCCTATAACAGTGCAGAATGAACTATTTTCATTGTGTGAAAGTCATAACTAAATATAATTCTTAAGGCTAACAGAGAACTTTTTTTTTTTAAAGTGAAAGTACAAAAATAAGTAGAATTATAAATGATAACTAAATATATAGTGTATAAAGTGTGCAATATGTAATAAAGAATAATATCTGGACATTTTTTTTTAAGATTTAAATATATGGAATACTTCAGTATCATAAACCAATCTAGCTACCTGGAGAACAGAGGCGTTGCTAGGCACTGGTACATGGGGCCTGTACCCCGATTCTATTTGATAGTGCCCTGAATCTCCAGTTGGTGTCTTGAAAAATCAGAATAGAAAACTATGATTTATATCATAGTGAAATGGTGAAATTTCCTGAGCCCCGAATCTTTTAAGTACCTAGTGATGCCTCTGCTGAAATCTCCCTGTAAGCTGGTGGTTGGAAACTACTACAGTAGCTCACCTTGTTGAAAGAAATTTGGAAATATATATGTGTGTGTGTGTGTTTATCTACACACACACTGTTATAACAAATAATAGAACATATTAGACTCTACAGCACAGATTATATTTTCACTTTGATCTTTGGTGAAAAGAAATCTATTATATAATCATTAGACAGCTGATCCACTACATAATACCAAATATTAAATTAGGCACAATGCCATAATATTATTCACACACCTAAAGTAATTTAGATTACAATATGGGAGTTAGAAAAGACTTAAAAACTCCCTAAATATTTTTACACATTACTGTATTTCTTTGTTTTGCTGACCCAAGCTGTGCTGATGAGCCTTGAATAGACAAAACTGCAGTCCACTGCAGAGGATAAGGCAAATCAAAAAATTTGTTAGGCTCTGTGTCACAGATTATATTTTCAACTTCACTTGTGATGAAAAGAAAAGAAATCTGTAATGTAGTCATAAAATGGTTGATTCACTGTACGATAAATTAGGTACAATGCCATAATGTAATTTACATACTGGTATAAATATATAGTATTTATTAGGGATTTGGACTCTATTACAAAAAAAAGTCCAATATCTGGCCCATGCTCTACTAGCGTTTCAATTGTACCATCATTGAAGAATTAAAAAAAATTAGATTTTTAAATTGATGGTCTGTATTGAGTTTTCTTCAAATATATTTGTGTTTATTCATTTAGTAGATTGCATGACTTCTCAACACTAATTTTATAACTTCTTTCAAGGCTTGTTCAAAATATAAAATTTGGTAACCTCTGTATTCTATTTTTTTAAATCTGCCAGTTGATGTGATTACTGATATTTGACACACAGTCATAAGTATAAAATACAGGATCTGCTTTTTAAATTCTCTAAGTTTTTGTCATGTATTGTCCTTTTTTCCATTGAAGAACTTTTTGAAACGTTAATGCTTATGGTCTAAGGGCATGCAATGTTTTACTAACACAAGCTATGCTAATAAGCCTTGAATAGATACAATCCATAACTGTTTTTTTTTAACTCTTCATGGATGTCACAATACAATCTTTAGCAAAGCATGGACTGGATATTGGACTGTTTTTTGCACTACAACCCTGGGCCACTTTAAGTTTATCTGCTAAATTTCGTTTTGCTAGCTGCAAAAGTGTGGGAAGAGTTTGTGAACACATATACAAACAAATTCACTGTTTTCATCTCAATTTAGCTAAAAAACAAAAACAAGTATGTATAAAGTATAAAGACTTGCAGCTTTATTTCATTTGTTTACAAGTTTTTTCTGTGCAGGTGGGAATTTTAATTATTTCTACTTTTCAAATTAAAATTACAATTGGGAGGACAGTTTGAATTTTTTTAATTCTGAGCAGATATATGTTACAAAAATGCATATCAAAATGAAATATAAATCTGAAAATTTCACTTACATTTTTATTTCTTTGTAACTAATTTAAGAAGAGGGATGAGAAAATTTTAAAAATTTAAATGTAATGACATCATTTGCCCTTGTAAAAATCATTCAATACTGGGTTGGATATGGTTCAGATGATCAATGCTTTACCTTTTATTGGTATAAATTTCAATCTATATTTATAAATTCTTATGTTACTGTTAGGCTTAGCTAAAGATATTACCAATTGTAATATATTAAAAATTTTTTTACATTATACCATGATTTTATTAGATCAAAGAATTAATGTACAAGGAGTATGTATTTTTAACTTTTTCTTTTTTTAATTCCTGCCATAAGCTTAGTAGTATTATTCCTCCAAAAAAAAACCTGAAAAGAGAAATGGTCTATGTGAAAAATCATTGTGTAACAGATAAGTTAGATTATATTTCAAAACAACTTTGGAAATGCTAGTCCAAATAATTTTTGCTTATTATTTATGCAGACAAGTGTAGTTTCTAAAGAAGATTGGAGACCAGAATAAAGCAAGCTGTTGTAGTTTCTGGATACACTTCTATGTTTCTCAAATTTAGTACTAAAAATTTGCTTTTTAATTAAGGCTGCTGACCTTGCCATAGATGAAAGTAGTTTCACAGGAGAGACTGAACCAGCAACTAAAGTGACGAGTAGTTTGATAAAAACCAATGGAATTGCAAGTAAACAGAATATGGCATTTATGGGAACTCTTGTGCGTTGTGGAAATGGCAGGGTAAGTACTTGGTTCTTGCTGTGCTCATTTTGTGGACAGTGTTTTTTGATGGTGTCACTCTCAATGCAAGAAGAAAAAATTCATTGTTTTGATTTTATATTATACCACCATTATTTCAAAATAAAAAAAAATCTCTGTAGTACAGAAGAACTAAAATATTTATAGTATCATATAGCAGCAAATCAAAAGTTAGATATGTTTCTGTATGTGAATCGATCGTAACAATGTCAAATAAAAACTTTTATTTTCAGGGTATTGTCATCAATACAGGTGAAAAGTCAGAGTTTGGAGAAATATTTCAAATGATGCAAGCTGAAGAGGTAAAAATCCATCCTGTTCCATTTATGTTTTATATGTGCATGTGTATATATTACAACTATAAAAACTTATTGGGTAACCAATGTTATTAAGTAGTTAGTGATGTGATTTAGGTTTTAGTCCTAATTTAAATCTATCAAAAAAGATTGAATCTTGTGAGGTTTTATTGAATTTAGTTTATGATGAAGGAACCAATTGAAGGATATAAATTTAGCCACTGTAAGTTATTTGTTGTCAATTTTTGCATGTATATTCATAAAGATTCTGTGATAATGTGTGTGGATATGTAGGTTAACGTAACTTTGTATATATATATATATATATATATATAGTTGTGTGTGTATGCATTGTTGAGTATGTTTAAGAAGTCTGACAGTTAGGAAAGGAATGTCTAGCTGAAATAAGATGTTTGTTTTAAAATGCACAAACTGTAAGTTAATCCATTTAAAACTTTGATTGAATGTAAACTAATCATTGTCACAAACTCAGTTAACCTATTATTTTATGTCAGCAGAATAATAATTTATCAAGAATACTCTTAACTTTTAAGCATTTTTATCCATTGTTTGTCAAGTCTCTGCATCAGACTAAACACATTATTAATTGGTATATATCTTTTTGAAGTTTTTTATATTGATATATATGAATGCATACATCGCAAGCTCCATTATAATAAGATACGAGTTTTATTTTTAATCATTATTCTATTGTGGATGTAGCAATGTTTTTGTGTTGATATTGTGTAAGCAACAGTGTTTTTGTGTAGTAATTATGGAAGCAGTTCTATATCTATGTTGATATTTGGAAGAAGCTGTATTTCTGTGTTAATATTTGGAAGAAGTTATTTCTCTGTGTTAATTTTTAAATGCAGTAATATTTTTGGCTCTCGTTCTGTTATAACAGGCTCCAAAGACGCCTTTACAGAAGAGCATGGATATTCTTGGAAAGCAGCTTTCATTATACTCATTTGGTATTATAGCTTTAATTATGTTGCTAGGATGGATACAGGGTAGACCCGTGATGGAGATGTTCAACATTGGTGTGAGGTATGGAGCACACAACTGTGATTGTTATAGTGCTATATTGAAGTTTGATTGTCTTAAGATGTTTATAATAATTGTATTTTGGATTTTAACTTTGAAAACAGGGTTTTAAGAGTATCTTCCTTTTATTTATGTTTCACATTCTTAAGTAAGACTTCATGATTTTTAGAAAACTTGTCTTTGGGTAAGTAACTAAGAAAAAAATATACTAACTAGATTACATATGAATTGTGCCATTAATTTCACAGTATTTGGTTACTGTATGTACAGGTTGATGCAAAACGTTTTGCACCACCATTATATTTTTAAGCTCTTCCCTTACTGTACTTTTTCAAAGTTGTTTTTCTGTTTCAATAGCTGTTTGGAAGTAAAGTCTGCCGTGTCTTAATATCATGCTATAAATGATACTCATTTCAGACTGCATCACCCTCTGTACCTTATTTCGATTACAGTTTATGTCTGATTAAATTTGTAAAGATAGTAACGTATCATTTGGTATCACAATAATGTAACTCTTTTTGCAACTAGGCATTTTGTATTCCCAGGGCTCAGAGAAAATTAGAAATTTTTAAATATCAGAAATGTTATATATTAGTGATTTATTATACATAATAAATTAAAAATAGCCCTACAAACTATATATTATTGGATTCACTGTGAAGAATCCTTATTAAAGTATGCCCAAATGATCCCTGGGAGTAGAAATACTGAGTGTACAAAGTATGACCCTATGGTAAGAAAAGGGTTAAAACCTAGTTTTAATAATAGGGAAGAAGAGTGAAAAGTATAATGTTAAAATTGAAGCACATTATCTATCTTTTTTTTTTAAGTATAAAGTGAACAAGTACTAGGTTAAGTATCTCACTGCAGGTTTAGACCCAGGGGCCAAACTCGTAACCATTTACAGTATATATATCTTCACAAAATTAGGCAGGCTTTTTAATAAACATTACAAGTCTTCTGTACACAAAAATAAGATTTTTTAATGAAGTATTTTTTACTAAAGATTTGTCTGGGAATGTATATAGTATTTCTATATACTAGTCTGAGTGCTAAGTGATTTTCATGTTAAGATTAAAAATATTCTTTTGGGCAGAGTAATCATGATGAAATTTAGTTGAATGGACAGTGCAGAGGATGATGTTTCGAAAGTCTTCCAACATGAAGACGAAAGGCAGGAGATTTTCGAAACATTGTCCTCTACACTTGTGTTTCAACAACAGGCAGTTGCCATCACATCGACTAAATTTAATTCAAGATTAAAAACACTTTTCTTTGCCTCAGAAATCTCAAATTTTATTTGCTAAATCTCTAATACATCCTAAATACATTTCAAACGTTTTTTCAGTAAATCTTTATATTGTATCTATTATTTTCTTTACCCTAACTTTATACAAGTTGGTCAATTTGACTGACCTTGTAACCACCAAAAAAAAATCAAAATCACTCTAAATTACCCCTTTTTTTTTCTAGAATGATTTCAAACTGTAATATTGAACTAAATTTTATCCTAAAAATCTTTATGCTCATAATAGTATACATCTATTTATGCTTATATTGTTTTATTGCCCATTCAACCTTGAATAAGTACTATTTGTGCCGTTATAAGTTGTGAACATGCAACTCGCATTATTCTGTCGAATTACATTACACATGAGTGTACCTCATGAACATTTTTGTTATGTTATTACTATTTATTTCACCTAATCTAACCTTAACTAACATAAAAGCTTCCCTATTTTTACATTTTACTTACTTTTATAATAATAAATGAAGAATACGCATAAGAAAACAAGAAAAAATAGTCTTTTTTTTGCTGTCAACTTTCGATGACACTTAACCATACTTTTTATACTAATGGTAATATTGTACAAAATAGTTTTTAATTAATTAAATAATGTATCTAAAAACACAGAATAATAATATGCACAAAGCAGACAATGTCCAATAACTATTACAATGTTTCTGGTTTTCAACTATGCGACACCAGCCGCAAAAAATTCATCTAAGCCTGTCAATGTGTTTCCCATGGAAATCAAGCTTGAAGTGAAATCAAAATTGACAATTCTTTTTACAGAAAACAATGTAATATAATACATCACTTGATAGATGGAAACCTTGGCTTTCTATTGGTTATAAGTAATATAGTATTGAATGACAGAGAGAACTACTGGCAATTTCTGAAAGAGGATGTGACAAGTGGGCATGGCAAGAGGGGTCTGATTGTTTATTTCATGGCTCTATAACTACATAAGATTGAGGGCTATGAAAATTATGATTTGTCTGAGCAATGATGATATTACAATAAATAACTTAGATTAATTTTCGTACATTTTAGATGGGTGGTAAATAAATTAGAAATGAGGAGATGCCTAGAGAGCAAATGTCACAATTAACACACCAGCTAGTTAGGTTTGTTGAAAAAGTGTTTTAAGCATGGCATAATGTGAAGTATAAAGCAGCAAGCAGTAATTTAACTTTTTTATTCCACAAATCTATTGTGTAATATTTTATCACAAAAATTCTACACTGTTTGTGAAAATGTTTTCTAGGTTATTTGAAATTCATAACATAGGCTTATGTTGTGAAAGCTTAAAAGTATCACATATTAAGCTATTGTTTATCCTTCCAATAAACCTGACCAACCTTATATTTTATGATGTTATGCATCTTCTGAAATCACTGGCCTTTATCACTGTTAATGAAGTAAATTGTTTCACAACTTTGTATTCTCAATATATTAGTCATTTTCTTTGTTGATATAATTAACCCTTTTAATGAAAACTTACTGACTTATATATGCCTCAATGTGGCAGTGAAAAAAAGAAAGAATATACAATGAATACATGCAGTAAATTCTTACACTTAAAAATATTACCTATTGATCTATGTTTGCACACTCTATCCTGTGTACTTGTACTTGTGTTACTATTAAAGTGAATTGTCTTTAAACCTAAAAAAAGTGTATAATTGTAGTAAATATTTCACCATTGAAGTTGTTGTATTGATAAATGTGAAACTACATACAGTTTCTATTCAAAGTGTTCTGAAGCAGTGTTTCTGTAGAAAGAATTAGAATATTTAGTTGTACTTTACCATTTACTAATTTGATATCCAAATCTAAATAATTAGCATATACATTATCATTTTTACTTTTTTCTGCTAATTATTTAAATTTGGATATAAAATTTAATTTAATTTTCCCATTCTAGGTCTACCTACCCCGAATAATGTAGTTCCTCGTATGATGCTAAAAAGTGTCACTACATCTCAATTAAAAAGATTTTTAACTGTTTGTAATAACAGCAAGTTTTTTTTTATGGATAATGTTATATTATTTATAACTAAATTAGAAAATAATGGATATAAATACTGGCAAATAAAAAAGTTTTTTGCAAGTTTTTTAATAAATTTCAAAATATTTTATCAGATAAGTATTCGATGAGGAAAAATCCTTTTTTGTCACTAGAGATAGGTAGCTACCTTTAATATTTAAATTATATTTATTAAGTATAGCCGGGGCTGGAAAGATTAAGTTTGAATAGCTGGGCTTGTCTCAACTATCTCGTGCTATACTTGAATAATGTGACAATATGAACTACTTAAAGTAGGTCTTGTAGTTCTTTTTAAGATCTTTTATAATAAATACGTCATTTTTAGAAAAGGGTGGAGGTTGGAAGCAACATGTAGTAGAATTATTAGCTGGTATTTATTCTACTTTAAGGACTTTTTAGAACTTTTAGGGGTTGAGGATGGTAGGCATTGTTTAGTATAAATATATTTTTTGGGGTGGCTTGATTTTATCTTATTTCTACTTTTGGCTTTATTACATCTTTTTAAGGGTAACTGTGATTTCATAACTGGCTGCAGACAGTGAAAGGCAGTAAGAGTTGAAATGTTGCAAGTGTAAGCACTAAACTCTGTATCCTTAATGAATTTTCCATGACTGCTAACTGGTTTCTTATCTGCTTTTTGGATATTCCCAATGCTTTTGGATGCTATTATCACAGGCAATCTCCATTATGACTTTTGTATAATGACCAGTTGAGTTGCTTCTATAGCTGTCCCTAAGGATGGATTCTGTACCCAAAAACAAACCTTCTTAGGATATCCACCCATGGTACTTGAGCATATTTGGTCTCACTAATATGTGAGTTTGTTTTATGAATACAGTTTCAAACCTACTCTCCCTGGAATCCCAATGGGGAGCAGAAGCAAAAATTCTGATGCCGTATTTGGGTTCAGTGACCCTGAAAAGCCACTTCTATACCTACATCATGCTTGGGTGACCAACTGAGCACATTCTAGCCTTCCTTAATTGGGGGGCTATAGCATATAAATATGAACAATCCTTCGGCCACCTTAACCCTCTCGCCCTGGGTATTCTTTACTGCGCATGACACAAGGTGTTAGTGTCTTACATTCAAAATTTTATTAAACTACTTTTTGTTTATGTTATACTAGTTAGTATAGCATAAAACCTTGGCTAATAATCCATATTTGAATAGTATACAAGTTTTAAGTTTTATAAGGCAATAGTAAAAAAAATCCTTGAATTTCCTCTAGTGTGACACATATGACACATTTTCTCTAGGTATCTACTCATCTCTATTTTATTCACCCCTCCACCCCAGTAACTACAAAATTAAATGTAAATTACTCACTATACAACCAGCATTGCTCAGACAAACCATACTTTTTATAGCCTTCGATTTTGTTTAGTTACAGAGCTATTAAATAGAAAATCAGACCCCTCTTGCCACACCTGCCTGTCACATCCTCTCTATCAGGAGTTGTTAATAGTTCTCTCTTACTCTTAATTATATAATATCTATAACCAATAGAAAGTCAAGGTTTTCATCTATTAAATGACATATTCTATTAAGTTAGAACACAGAATAGTCAATTTCACTTTTAATACAACTTTGGTTCCAATGGGAATCACAATGGCTAGCTTAGATGCCTTTGTAACAGCTCTTGTTGCATAGTTAGGAAGCCAGATA